CCATATGAAAGCAGCGTCTTCCTTTTGTAGGCCTGCGCTGTGCTGTCCTGCAGCGCGCGCTGCATGACCGACGGGTCGATGGGGCTCGTCGAAGCCGAGCTTCTGCCCCGCCTTCGCGTCTAACTGCAACTGCCACTGGGATTGAAACAGCTTCTTGATGAGGGCAGGGGAGGTAGTAATGAGTGGGTAGTCCAGGCCTTGCGAGTCTCTAAAGACGAGCGGGTCGGGCATGGACCACCCCAGACGGCTCAAGCTGAGCATCGTGGCCCCTAAGGGCCCTCGGATTTGGTACCACTTCGTAGGGGGCTTGTGGAGGACCTGGAGGGCTTGTTCGCGGAGCCCCACCAGAGAAAAGCCAATCGTACTAGGATAATGAGCAACTCTCCAGATCAGGTTGGCCCAATAACAGGCCGGCCCCAAGGCAGCGCTCCAAGTCGGGCCCCCCAATATCGATGAAGCCAGGGACCTGGATCTTGTAGCACAGCGGGGCCCTACAATCTTGAGGTAGAGGGGCTGGGCTTCATGCAACTCAGGGTTGGTGAGGCCGACGACCTCCGCGCCATAGTAGGCGGCCGCCTTCAACCCTGTCTGATACATCTTCCTCATATTCGCACCTGCTCGCCTAATCTGGGCCAGACGGTGGAGTCGACGTTTCATCTTGGAGGTTCGCTTCGCCAGAGTATTTCGGGCCTTCTTCGAGACCCTGTTCCCCATTGTGAAATCGACTCCGAAGTTTGGCGCAGACTGTGCTTGGTTGACTCCTTCTGGTCCACTGTACTTACCTAGGGCTTTGGCCAGGCGATGCTGTACTGCAGCGGCTGATCCCAGCGCTGCAGCCCTGTGCAAGGCGACCGAGCAATCGAGGTCCTCCTCGATTGAATCTAGCATGCTGTCGGAGGCCTGCGCCAGGTCCGACACCAACAGGCGAACACTTGTGTTGTTGCTAGTCAGCATGAAATCATCTATGAAGATTGAGGGGTCCACGGTGGGGAACTTCGGAACCCAGGAGCCCATGGGGGGAACCGTATACATTTGGACGTTGTAGGTCGCAAGCGAGCACCCAGCAGGGAAGCCTTTGGTAGCACACCCCGCGTAGGTAGCCAATGTTCTGGTTGCAACAGCCCTGGGACCCCCATACTGGTTCATCATAATACACGTAAGCGTCTCCGAGAATCCAGAAGAGATCGCCCGATATTTCCATTTCTTCCGATTGACATTCTCATAATAGTTAGACAGCTTGGCAACCAGCAAGTTCAGCCTTCAATGCCTGAGCATAAACAGTTTCAAGCACATCTCGACCAGACTGATGAGCAAGATAAGGCCTTTTGTTGGCCCTTTCCCACCGACGAGCTTCCCCTGGGCGAATTTTGGACCGCGCCCTCCAGAGGGCAAGGGGCAAACCGACTCCACGGTACGAGGGGCCCTCAGACTGGTCAGGCTTGTGCTTCTCAATCAGCGTGATAATGACGCCACGAATGGCTGTCGGAAATACTCCAATCTCCTCGATCGCTGCCAAAAGCTTGCACACATGCCCCAGTTCCACATTGCTGAGATAAACAAAGTGACGAGGGTGAAACCCATCCCAAGTCTGGCTGGTAGATTTGGGAAATCTTTTGGCAGCTGATCTGATCTGGCCAGGCGTGATGGGCTCCAAGCGGTCACGCTCGGCCGACGGCAAGTTAAAGTCCTGCTCCTGCGGCGTGGCCGGCCGCAATCCCGCGAGGCGGGTTGCCTCGGACTGGAGCAACTCAGATGGCCGACCTGAAAATTTCTGCAGCTCGGGGCGCCGCACTTTCTGAGGTTGCCAGGAGGTGAGCTTTGAGGTCAAGCGGTGGGCCCAACCAACACCCCGAGACATGGCCTCCTGGACCCAGCTGTTCCAAGACGTTGTTTCACTTTGTCGGTCCTTGGCCTCCTCAGCTTTGAGCGCATGATCAACTGCATCATCGAGCTCTTCAAATACCTTCAACACGAGCTTGGGGTCCATCTGGCCATTGTCCTGGTCTTGGGCAGCAGCGCCTAGAGCGGTCCTAACACTGGCGAGCAAACGGGCAAACTCCTCGGTACCTTCGAGCTCCGGGGGTGGCGACTGGATGCTGGTCAAAATCTCAGAAAAGTAAAACTCCTCCTGGGAATAAACCCGTCGGATGACATCCATAACTTTTTTCTCAACCACCGAATCGGAATTGATGGACTCCTCCAACTGGCCCTGGGTTCCACCTCTCGCGCGGCTCCCGGTGCCCAGCGGATCTTAGGGAGGCCCGCCCGCGGGGCCGTGGGCGACTTGATCGGAGTGTCTGTGCCGATGCTGATCGTCTTCGCCATGTCCGAGGCGAAGTACTGGTATGCCGAATCTAGGGCCAGCAAGCGGGCCTCAATCCCAGACTCTCGATCGATAACCTGGTCCAGGAAATCCAAGGCAGCCTCCGCGCGGTCCCAGGGCGGCACGTGGTTGGTAGGCCCATAGGGCCTGGAGGTTGCAAATGGTTGGGGCTTCTCCAATACTGGCGCCATATAGGGCATCCCGCAGCGCAGCTGGAACAACGCGGGCCTACGCGGGCTCATGGGGTACTCGTTGAGAACCGCGGCCCTCGAAAGGTCCTGGTCGGAATGCGACGGGGCGAGAACGAAGTCGATGATGGACTCGGACTTCTTCATCTTACATGTTGGTTTTGTCGAGGCCAAAATCTTAGGGCCTGCTCTCAGCCGGTAGTTCGACTCGATTAGCTTACTCGTCGACACATTGAAATCCCCAGCAATGATGAGTGGCTGTCGTACAGCGTCCTGGATCATTGCAACCCCTGCTACGAGCTCTAAATTATACTGGTGGAGGCCCACCCCGTCGGCCAAGTAAAATGAAACTAGTACGAATGGACGATGTCCAGGAAGCTCAAGTGAAACTGCTGTGCGCCGTGACTCTACCACCCCTGCAGGCAACGGCGCACGTGATACTCCATAGTCATGCCCATCACGAATCAAACTCCCTGCTCCTTGGACAGGGTGCCCTTTCTCACTGAGCGCGGCTGGAGGGAGTATCGCGTTCCACCCTTCTCGCTCACACCATTGTGCGATGAACGGGAGCGCATCCTTCAATACCCGAAGTTCTTGACAGCAGATGATGTCCACCGTCTCGGCTGCTTGAGACTTCAGAAACTTCCGAATAGATCTCCAGCAACTTCCATTGATAGTGGCGGACCTGACCGTGTTACCCACGCGGCGCCCCGTCCGCCCCCTTGCCGCCCTTGCCCTTTTGGCCAGGCAGAGCGCCTTCGCGCTGGACTGGAGCGCCGCGTTGGCCATCTGCTGCTGGGGCGTGAGCGCCGAGTTCTGGCCGTTGATGTTCAGAACCTGGTCGATCGCCTCGCCTACGCGCTTCATGCCCTGGCTCCTCTTGTCAGCCTCGTCATGGTCCAGCTGCATGGCCTCGGCCTCGGCGTCCAGGCTGGCTGCCAGCTCAGGGCTGACATCTCCTGATGGGGTGGCGGTGGCCTGCGACGGCGCCCTCGGGTCGGCATCGGCTGCGATTGGGACTGCGGCCCCCGCCTCGGTACCCGTCTGGGAGTCCGCCGCCCCCTGGGTCGCCGTCTGGGCCTGCTGGGAGCTGGCCTGGGTTGCCTGGGCTGCCTGCCACTCGTCATGTAGCTTTGCCGACAACTGAACGGCGGCCTGCTTCACCTCCGTGGACGGCGCGAGCCCAGGTGGGAACTGGCTGATGATGTACGTCTCCAGCGAGGGGGCCGAGGTGCTGACGTGCTCCTTCAACGCCTGCTCCACTGCCATCTTGTGCTGGGTCTCTAACTGCTGCGTCTCCGCTGACAGGTCGGCGACGAGCTTGCACTGGTTGGTATAGTCATTGGCCAAGGTGACCATGGCCTCACACGTTTTGTCACAAGTCTGTTGGGCACTGAGCAACTTCTTCTTTGCGACTTCGAGCTGGTCGTACAGCGACTTTCGCTGTTGGTCCCATGGTTTTGCTGCTAGTGTCGATGCTTTCACTGCTTTCAACTCCTCCACGGCCTGCAGGTAGTGACTTCATTTGATGCCTTCCATTTTCTTCCAGAACTGAACAGCTGCCGCACACACAGCAACTGGATCACGATCTGGCTCATCGGGTTCACGTACTGCTGCAGCTCCTTGTTGGTGACACTTCGGCGCTGGGCTGGACGAACGCCTGCGCCACCTGTTGGGAGTGCCGCCTGATGTAGTCTGTGACTGAGGGGACGGGGCAGGTTGTCCTGTTTTCCGTCCTGTGAAGGCTAAGCCACACTGACCACAATACTTGAACGGCTTGTCCGCCCATGTCCATCCTTTGCATCCACCAGATTGGCAGCAGAGGTACTTGCGTCCGTCTCCCCTGCCTCGGCTTTGCTGTCGCTGGCCGCCCATGTCTGATGGAACGAGGGAGGCCCCAGGTTTGGCTGCTGACCTGGGGTGAGAAACTGGTTGGCGAGAAAGCAGGCGCCACCTGCCTACGGTAGGCTGAAAAGATGGAAGCAGGCGCCACCTGCCCACGGTAGGCTTGTGCCAGAACGGCTTGAGCCAGAACGAAATGGAGGAGGAGGAGGAGGAGGAGGAGGAGGAGGATGAGGAGGAGAGAGGAGGAGGAGGAGGAGGAGGAGGAGGAGGAGAGGGGGAGGAGGAGGAGGAGGAGGAGGAGGGTGAGGAGAGGAGGAGGATGGAGGAGGAGGAGGAGGAGGAGGAGGAGGAGGAGGAGGAGGAGGAGGAGGAGGAGGAGGAGGGAGAGTAGAGGAGGAGAGAGGAGGAGGAGGAGGAGGAGGAGGAGGAGGAGGAGGAGGAGGAGGAGGAGAGGAGGTAGGAGGAGGAGGAGGAGGAGGAGGAGGAGGAGGAGAGGAGAAGGAGGAGGGAGGAGGAGGAGGAGGAGAGGAGGAGGAGGAGGAGGTGGAGGAGGGGAGGAGGAGGAGGGAGGAGGAGGAGGAGGGGAAGGAGGAGGAGGGAGGAGGAGGAGGAGGAGAATGAGGAGGGAGGAGGAGGAGGAGGAGGCGGAGGAGGAGGAGGAGGAGGAGGAGGGGGAGCCCCTCCTCCCCAAAGCTCCGCCCCAGAAGTCCCTGGAACCCCCGCGCAGCCTGCAGCCGGGCCTCGCCCACGCCCGCGGCGCGGCACGCCGCCACCGCGGCGCGCACCCCCGCGGTGCACTGCTGCTGGAGGGCCTCCTGCAGGCGCTGCAGGCAGGCCCGCCGGAGCTCGACCTGCTGCAGGGCTCTCTGCGCGGCCTCGAGGTCCTCGTCGGAAGAAGGGAGTCGGCACCAAAATACTACTACTACTACTACTACTACTACTACTACTACTACTACTACTACTACTACTACTACTACTACTACTACTACTACTACGACTACGACTACGACTACTACTACTACTACTACTACTACTACTACTACTGCTACTACGACGACTACTACTACTACGACTACTACTACTACTACTACTACTGCTACTACTACTACTACAACAACTACTACTACTACTACTGCTACTATTAATAATCATACTAATAATAATAATAATGATACTAATAATAATGATGATACTAATAATAATAGCAATAATAATAATAATACTAACACGACTAATGATAATGGTACTAGTACTAATACTACGAATGATCATAATAAGACTAATAATGCTAATTATATTCTTAATAAAAAAGCATAGCAAGCACAGCAATACAGCGAAGAGGACGAACACTACGACTGCTTTCTGAACGCCGCGGATGCGAACAATAAGAAGCACTGAGCAGAGGAATGCTAAGACAAAGCCATATTTCTACTCATGCGAGCAACAATGATACCAATGGTCGTACGATTGCGAACACTCACAGTAATACTATACAACACGAACAAGACGAATCATAATGGACGTGCTCATAACCATGAGAAGAACCATCGGCATAAAAACACGCACGGCCAGGAACTTTTGCTAAGCGTGTGGCGCGGCGGCCCCGGCGACACGCTTTGCCCTTGCACGCAGATGGGGTGTTGCTGCGCTCCACGGGGCGGGAGGCTCGGGAAAATTTCGGGACGTTGACGCCTGGGGACTCGGACGTGGTCAGCGTGTCGCGCCGAAGCGTGGTGGGCCAGAACTGGCGGAGGGACAAGTTAAGCAAAAGCTCCCGACCGTAGACTTTGGGAGGTCGGCGCGGATGTCTGGGATCGGCGCTGGACCCCCTCCCCCCTCGCGTGCGGAGCAGGCCAGGGGCGGCGCTGGAGGCGCCGCCAGGGGAGGTCCAGCGCGGATCCCAGAGATCTGGGCGGACATCCAACAGTTTCTTCCCTGGCCCATGCCGATCTTTTCTTCGAGTCCTTGCCGTCGAGCCCCAGCTCGGTCGCCTTTGCGATCGCCGCCCGCAGCGCAGCCTCGTCCTCCTCTGGTGGCGAACACAAGGCTGGGGCCTCCTGAGACGCGGCTGGGTGCCCTTACTAAGGCTTCTTGTTATCACCCAGGAGCGCTTCGGAGGAGGAAAAGGAGGAGGAGGAGGAGGAGGAGGAGGAGGAGGAGGAGGAGGAGGAGGAGGAGGAGGAGGAGGAGGAGGATAAGCCAACTGCCTTCTCAGAAGCCCCCGTGCCCTCTAAAAATGACGCCCCCCTCGAGCCGCCCCCTCGCGCGCCGCCAGGCCAGCGGCTTCCGGGCCCCAACTCGGGTCCCCGGCGGCCCTTCGGGACGATTCGGGCGCCCCCAGGGCGCTCTCGGCGAGGCGCAGTTGCCAGAGCGCCTCCCGAGGCTGGGAAGCCGCCGAGAACCGACGGCAGGAGAGGACTGGACGCCCGCATGGCGCCGAGGCGCGCTCTGGGGCGGCGTGTGCGGAAGAGCTGCCGAGGACCGACGAGCACGCGCGAACCCAGAGATCCGACGTGGTGATTTTTTCAATACGGGGTCCCCGGAAATCTCGACCCATTCCCCAGGACCGGTTTCCTATCCTGAGTCGTTTCTTGACGGTCCCGAGGCCCGGCGAGGGCCCCTAGAGGCCGAAAATCGCGAAAAACCTGCGTCTTGATTTTTTCAATGCGTTGGATCTCTCGGAACCTCGATCCCAAAATCTCGCTCCTGACGGGCCGCCTCGCGGAGCGACTCCGCGCAGGCGGCCTTGGCCTCCAGCAGCACCAGCGCCGCGCGGGCGCTGCGCAGGTCCTCCGGCGGGAGCCCCGCCGCCTCGCCGGCCTCCAGCGCCGCCTGCAGGGACGCCGGCGAGCCCTCCGCGAGCGCCCGGTCCAGCTCCTCGCGCGCAGCCCGCGCGAGCTCCTCCGAGAGGAAGACCCAGAGATCCAACGCATTGAAAAACAAAAATCAAGACGGAGGTCTTTCGCGATTCTCGGCCTCTGGGGGCCCTCGCCGGGCCTCGGGACCGTCAACAAAACGACTCAGGACGAAACACCGGTCCTGGGGAAGGGGTCCAGACCTCTGGGACTCTGCAGGGTCGACGCCACGAAACAAAAATCATGGCGACGGGGGTCTGGGAGCAGAGACGCTGCACAATCCCCGCTAGGAGCAGAAGCCAGGGGCACACACACACACACAGAAACGTGGCAGCGCGAATGCCAGCATGAGGGCAGGACCCCTCGAGGGAGGCAGCGCGAGGGAGAGGGCGAGGGCATGATCGGGTGCCCTTGTCGGGCCTCGGGAGGGCTCTTCCAGCTCACGGGGTGCTGTCCGGCCGCTGCGCCTCGCCGGGAGCTCTCCGGGGCTGCCGCGGTCGTCCCGAGCTTGGGTGCCCGAGGCTCGATCGCTGGCCCCGGAACCATCCAGAATACCGTCGGGGCGTTGACCTAAGGAACCCTAAATCAGGAACGAGGCTCCTTCTTCCCATGAGTTAAACTTCGATCTCCCATGGAAAACCTCGGGAACACCTGGGGCAAGCTGTAAACAGATCAAGGAACACCGAGCCCCTCCCCAACGCAAAAGGGTTCCTTCTTCAGCGCCCCGACTGTAACTGGCGGCACAGGCTCGAAATTTCGGAGGCCCGCACGTGGCTGTTGGGCCGGCGCTGGCCCCACCCCTCCTGGTGCGAGCGCACCCCGCGCGCCAGGGGAGGGGGGGTCGGCGCCGATCCAAGAAATCCGCGCGGACCTCCGAACAATTAATGTTTATTTCTGGGTTGATTCCTCATTTTTTGAACTGATTCTTGTTGATCCCCCCTGGTGCCCATGGTGTTTTGAAACACGTGGCACGCGTGTTCTGGCTCTTGCACATTTGAGCCGAGAAAGAGGGGGAGGCGCAGGTGGGGGAATCGAGGAGATAAGCAGGAGGAGGAAAAGGAGGAGGAGGAGGAGGAGGAGGATGAGGAGAGGGAGGAGGAGGAGGAGGAGGAGGAGGAGGAGGAGGAGGAGGAGGGGGAGGAGGAGGAATTAGGAGGAGGAGGAGAGAGGAGAGGAGGAGGAGGAGGAGGAGGAGGAGGAGGAGGAGGAGGAGGGGCAGGTGGGGCCAGGGCGCCCCGGTGTTGAATCAGAGGTTGCCGATTGGGACCTGCTCGAATCTAGGCTGGGCCAGGGGGGGAGGCTGGGTCCAGGGACAGGGCCAGCGGGGCAAGAGGGGCTAGGGCCAGGGACCAGCGGGGTAGGCTGGGTCCAGTGCCAGGACCAGGGTGGCGATGGGGGATAGGGCCAGGTCCAGTGGGGGAGGCTGGCTCCAGGGCCAGGACCAGGACCAGGGGGACGACGACGAACGAAAATAAAGGTTCTGGCGCGAGAGGGGGGCTGGGAAAAGATTGGGTCCATGGCCACGGCCAGGGGTACGACGACGAGCGAAAATGAAGGGTCTAGGGCGAGGAGGGCTGGAGCCAAGGCCAGGGGAGGACGCTGGGTCCAAGGATAGGACCAAGGGGGCGACGACGAGGGGGGCTGGGGCTAGGACCAGGGTCGGAGGCTGGGTCGATGGCCAGGACCAGGGGGACGACGACAAACGAAAATAAAAGGTCCAGCGCGAGGGGGGCTGGGACCAGGGCCAGGTGAGGAGGCTGGGTCCAGGGCCAGGGGAGGCTAGAGCCAAAACCAAGGGGGGAGGTTGGGTCCAGTGCCAGGACCAAGGGGACGACGACGAGGGGGGCTGGGGCTAGGACCGCGGGGGGGGGTGCTGGGTCCAATGCCGGGACCCAGGGGAACGACGATGAACGAAAATAAATGGTCCGGCGCGAGAAGTGCTTGGGACACGGCCAAGGGAGGAGGCAGGATCCAGGGCCAGGGCCAGCGGGGCGAGGGGGGCTACGGCCAAAACAAAGGGGAGGTTGGGTCCAGTACCAGGACCAGGGGGACGACGGCGAACGAAAATGAAGAGGTCCGAGCTCTAGAACACAACTGTGCAAGACAATAAAGGGGCCGCAGCGGAGGGAGCGCCATGGCTGGCGGGCGGGGGGATGCGGTAGGGGCGCGCGGGGGGGGGGGGCGGGGGGGCAATGACGTGCCGAAACAAAAGGGTTGGGGTCGGGGCGGAGGGGGCACGCTGGCTGGCGGGCAGGCGACGCGGAGGTGGCGCGCGGGATGGGGAAGGGGGGGCGGGGGGGCAAAGACGTGCCGAATCAAAAGGGTCGGGGCGGAGGGGCGCGCTGGCTGGTGGGCGGGGGGGCCTGGAGGGGGCGCGCGGGATTGGCGGGGGGCCGTGCTGAAGCAAAAGGGTCGGGGCGGAGGGGGCGCGCTGGCTGGCGGGCGGGGGGGCGCGGGCTGGTGGGTGGGGGATGCGGGGGGGCGCGTGGGATGGGGGGGTGCCGTGCCGGAGTAAAAGGGCTGGGGCTGAGGGGGCGTGCCGGTTGGCTACGATCGAAGGCGAAGAGGGCGGGTACCGAAGGTTTGGGATACACGTGTTGAATAGCACACGAGCAGATCGGATCGAACAGTCTTGAGATGATGATGATTATTAGTATGACAAATACGTATTGTTGACCCCCCGGTAACCGGTGTATTTTTCAATCCCACCAGCCCTTTGGGCGTGAGTGGTTTAGCGAGCTCTCTCTGTTCTCAACCCCCCTTCTTCCCCTTCGGGGAGGGGTTTACCCCTCCCCCTACTCCCTCCCCCTGGACCTGGAGAGGGGGTTTCGCGGGTGGTCAGAGGGTCCTTTTTCTATCCCTGGGAGGGCTAAAATTCGACACCCCTCACGAGGATCGTGGCCCCGACGGGGGTACTGACAAAAATGCTCGCCCCATCTGTGATCGATCGCCCCAAAGATGGCCCCAACAGGCCCCCAAGACGCTCCAAGAGGCGCCCAAGAGGGCCCCCGGACGCTCCCAAGAGGCTCAAAAGAGAGCCCAAGAGGCCCCTCTACGATCTCCAAGAGGCCTCCAAACTGCCTTGGATACGACTACTTGTACTACTACTACTACTACTACTACTACTACTACTACTACTACTACTACTACTACTACTACTATTACTACTACTACTACTACTACTACTACTACTACTACTACTACTACTACTACTACTACTACTACTACTACTACTACTACTACTACTACTACTACTACTACTACTACTACTACTACTACTACTACTACTACTACTACTACTACTACTACTACTACTACTACTACTACTACTACTACTACTACTACTACTACTACTACTACTACTACTACTACTACTACTACTACTACTACTACTACTACTACTACTACTACTACTACTACTACTACTACTACTACTACTACACTACTACTACTACTACTACTACTACTACTACTACTACTACTACTACTACTACTACTACTACTACTACTACTACTACTACTACTACTACTACTACTACTACTACTACTACTACTACTACTACTACTACTACTACTACTACTACTACTACTACTACGACTACTACTACTACTACTACTACGACTACTACGCTACTAACTACTACTACTACTACTACTACTACTACTACTACTACTACTACTACTACTACTACTACTACTACTACTACTCCTACTACGAGGGGACCGAACGACTCGCACCAGGACGAGGTGCCCGAACGCCTCACACCACGAGGAGCCCGAACGACTCACACCAGGACGAGGGGCCCGAACGACTCACACCACGAAGAGCCCGAACGACTCACACCAGAAGGAGGGGCCCGAACGACTCACACCAGGACGAGGCGCCCGAACGACTCACACCACGAGGAGCCCGAACGACTCACACCACGACGAGGGCCCCGAACGACTCACACCACGAGGAGCCCGAACGAGTCACACCAGGAGGAGGGGCCCGAACGACTCACACCAGGACGAGGGGCCCGAACAACTCACACCACGAGAAGCCCGAACGACTCACACCAGGACGAAGAGCCCGAACGACTCAAACCACGAAGAGCCCGAACGACTCACACCAGGAAGAAGGGCCCGAACGACTCACACCAGGACGAGAGGCCCGAACGACTCAAACCACGAGGAGCCCGAACGGCTCACACCAGGACGAGGGGCCCGAACGACTCACACCACGAGGAGCCCGAACGACTCACACCAGGAAGAGGGGCCCGAAGGACTCACACAAGGACGATGGGGCCGAACGACTCACCCCACGAGGGGCCCCAACGACTCCCACCAGTCGTCGTCGTCGTCGTCGTCGTCGTCGTCGTCGTCGTCGTCGTCGTCGCCGCCGCCTTCGTCGTCGTCGTCGTCGACGTCGTCGTCGTCGTCGTCGTCGCGGTTGTGGTCGTCGTCGTCGTCGCGGTCGATATCGTCGTCGTCGTCGGGTGCGTCGTCGTTGTTAGGATCATCGCTGTGGTCGTCGTCTCCGCTAAATCCCTCTTGCCTCCCACCGCTTTCTCTCCCTCCTCCTCCGCCTCGTCCTTCTCCCGCTCCCACCACAAGGAGGATGTACAAGGAGGCGGGAGGAAGGAGGAACAGGGGAGATATGCGGGGGCAGGCGGAAACACGCCTGAAAAACACGACTGTCGGCATGCTTCGCAAGAGTTGCTGTTTTGAGATGGGCTGGTGGGGATACGCGAAGCGTGAAGAATTGAAGTGTTTTTTTGCGGGGCTCGCTTTTTTTTTCTCCACGGAAGTGCCATCAAACTGCGCCCCTGGCCCCTGGTTTACAACATCAGCGGCTCCCACCTGATACCTCCGCACAATTTATTCCCAAATCGCGCTCTCGCGCGGGACTTCTTCACAATTGTACAGGAATCGCGCTGTCGCGTGGGACTTCCTGGCCATTTGTTCAGACGCCGCGCCCTCGACACTCAGGAATCACGCTCTCGCCGTGGATTTCCTCACGATTTATTTTGAGATCGCGCTATCGCTCGATACGTCCTCGCGAGTCATGCAGGATGCGAGCTAAAGAAACCGGCGTGCTGTTCCCTTCCTTCCACCCGTGCGCTCTTCCCCTGCCTTAGGGGTTGCGCGAAATACCCGTTGCAAGTAAGACAGATATACCCAAGAGGGTACGATCGAAGACGAAGGGGGCGGGTATCGAGGGTTCGGGATATACGTGTTGATTTGCGCGGGAGCAGAGAAGACCGACCAGTATTAAACTTATGGTTGTTGTTGTTGTTGTTGTTGTTGTTGCTGCATTCTCAATTCTGACGAACAGTTCTTATTGCTCCCCCCTTCGGTGCACCTTTTGTTTTTTCGATTAACGTGCTGTTTCTAAAAGGGAAACAATCTTGGTCCTCAGAATGCGCGGTTGGCCCCCAAACTAAAGCAACAACGGCTCCCACCTGATACTTTCCCTGCACTTTATTGAAACGCCGTACCCTCGACTCTCAGGGGTCAGGCTCTCCCTGAAGCTTTTAGTTGTCCTCGCGATTCATGCTGGACGCACGCTTCAGCAACTGGCCAGCTCGATGGCCGCTGTTGTTGTTGTTGTTGCTGCATTCTCAATTCTGACGAACAGTTCTTGTTGCTCCCCCCTTCGGTGCACCTTTTGTTTTTTCGATTAACGTGCTGTTTCTAAAAGGGAAACAATCTTGGTCCTCAGAATGCGCGGTTGGCCCCCAAACTAAAGCAACAACGGCTCCCACCTGATACTTTCCCTGCACTTTATTGAAACGCCGTACCCTCGACTCTCAGGGGTCAGGCTCTCCCTGAAGCTTTTAGTTGTCCTCGCGATTCATGCTGGACGCACGCTTCAGCAACTGGCCAGCTCGATGGCCGCCTGGGCCCGCCTTCCTGACCCGCTCGTTCGGGTCTACCCGCCCGATCTGCCCGTCTGGTTCTGCCACGTGTTTTCTGATCCTAGCCCCCCTCCTGCTGCTCTATCTCGTGCTCCATCCTGACCCTTCGGACTTGTCCCTTCCTTCCATGCGTCCTCTCTTCCCTTGCTGTAGGGACTGCACCAAGTACAGGTTGCAGACAAAGGAGATATACCCCTAAACGGGGTATGATCGAAGGCGAAGAGGGCGGGTATCGAGGGTATGTGATCTACGTGTTGGCTGGTACGCGAGCAGGTCGGAGCAAGCAGTCTTAAGCTGTTTGCTGTTGCTGTTGCTGCAGTTGTTGCTGCTGCTGTTGCTGATGTTGTTGTTGCTGCTGCTATGTATGTTGTCGTTGCTGCTGCTGCTGCTGTTGTTGTGGTTGGTACGGTTGTTGTTGTTGTTGTTGTTGTTGTTGTTGTTGTTGTTGTTGTTGTTGTTGTTGTTGTTGTTGTTGTTGTTGTTAATATTATTAATAATAATAATAATATTGGTGTTTGGTTGTTCAGGTTGCTGTTGTGGTTGTTGTTGCTGCTGTTGTAAGTGTTGCTGGCGTTGTGCTTGTTGTTGTTGCTGTTGCTGCTGTTGTTGCTGCTTTGGTTGCTGCTGCTGCTGCTGCTGTTGCTGCTGCTGTTGCTGCTGCTGCTGCTGCTGGTGTTGTTGCTGCTGCTGCTGCTGGCTTTTCCTTCTTCGGTCCTCCTCTTCCAGGACCCGCCGTGCGCCCTCCAGCGCCGGGCGCACGTCCAAGCCCAGGCCGGGCTCCGCCCCCGCGCGGGCCTCCCCTGCGGCGGCGACGGCGCACCGCAGTGCCTCCAGGTCCCTGGCGGCGGTGGCCTTGAGAGGGGAACAGTAGGGGGGGGCAGTGGCTCGGGCCCTTTTTTTTGCAGGGTCCCCCCCCCTCCTCTTTCCTCCCCCGTCGCCTCCTTCTCCCCCCTCTTCCCCCTCCTTCCTCCTCCTCCCCCCCCCTCCCCTGGCGGCGGTGACCTTGAGGGGGAGCGGCAGGACTGGCTCAGGGGTGGGAGACATTGCCTTGGAATTCGGCGACGCATCGCCAACAGATCGGCGACAAACGTTCGACCGCGAAACCGCACGCTCCTGGGCAGGTTGGGACCCCCGGACCCCCGACTGGCGATGATTGGGCGACTGGGGGTCGAGGCTTCTCCCCCCCTCCCCTGGGCCTGGGGCCAGTCCCTCTCCCCCTGAAGGTGCCTCCTGGGTAAACACAAGCAACCGGCACAAACATAAACTTTCGGAGGTCCGCGCGGAGTTCTTGGATCGGCGCTGCATCCCCCTCCCTGGCGCGCGGGGCGCGCTGGGGGAGGCGCCAGCGGCGTCGCCAGGGAGGCCCAGCGCCGATCAAAGAAATCCACGCGGAGATGCGACAGCTTATTTTTGTATGCCGTTTCTGCTTCTTCTTATTCTTCTTCTGCTTCTTCTTCTTCTTCTTCTTCTTCGACTGGGGCCTCCTCCAGCGCGGCGATCGTCTCGGCCTTCTGCTCCTCCTCTCGCAGCGCCGCCCGTGCCGCGGCCAGCTGCGGCTCCCCGAGGCCCAGGGCTTCCCCCCTGGCGATGCCCTCGCGCAGCCGCGCGGGGCTGCGCGCCGCCAGGCCCTCGGCCAGGGACGCGAGCGCCTCCTCCCTCTGCTCCTGCGACGCCAGGAGGGCCTTCGCGCCCTCGAGCCTGGCGTGCTCCACCCCCGCCGCCAGTGCGGCCGCCACCGCGGCCCGCAGCGGCCCCTGCCCGCCCTCGGCCAGCGCCTCCACCAGCTGCGCCAGGGCTCTCGGGGCGCCCAGCTCGGGGGCCCCCAGGCCCGCGGCCTCCCCGAAGGCGATCGCCGCGCGGAGCTCCTCGGCCCCGCCGCCGGCCTCCGCCTCCCGGAGCTGGGCCCTCGCCCGGCCGGCCCGCTCCTCCGCCAGCGCCCCCCGCGCGGCCTGGAGCTCCGGGCAGCCCTCGCCCAGGCCGGCGGCCTCGCCCTCCGCGAGGGCGGCCTCCAGCGCGCTCTCCGCGCGCCCCGCCGCCGCCGCCGCCAGCGCGGCGCGGGCGGCCGCCCTGCGGCGCTCCTCCTCGAGCAGGTGCTGGGCCGCGCCGAGCTCCTCCTCCTCGAGCCCCGCCGCGCGGCCCTCCGCCAGCGCGGCCTCCAGGACGGCCGCGTCCAGCGTGCGCGCCGCCTGCTCGATGCCGCGCCGGGCTGCCTCCTTGCGCGCCTGCTCGTCTACTTGCCTGCGGTCCTCCTCCTCCTCCTCCTCCTCCTCCTCCTCCTCCTCCTCCTCCTCCTCCTCCCCCTCCTCCTTCTCTCCTCCTCCTCCTCCTCGTTGGTCTCCTCCCCCTCCTCCTCTCCTCCTTCTCCGTTCCTTCTCCTCCTCCTCCTCCTCCTTCTCCTGCTCCTCCTCCTCCTCCTCCTCCTCCTCCTCCTCGGTCTCCTCCTCGTCCCGCTCCACCCTCACGTATCCCCTCCCCACCCCTCCGTTCACCCTCCTTCGCTTCTTGTTATTGTTATTCTTCTTCTTCTTCTTCTTCTTCTTCTTTTTTCTCTCCTTCCTCATCCTCATCATCCCGCATCCATCTCCACATTACCATCTTGCTCCTCCCTCTGATGCTGCTCCTCCTCCGATCCCCCAGCTGCCCCTATTCGTCCATCCTTTTTCCTTCTAAACGACTTTCCCTGTCGCACCACTAGACGTGTCGGCAGTGTGGGCCAGGCGCTTCGCCTGAGACATCCTCGCCGTTTCTGATCCTGAATCCTGAGCTTGACAACAGCTTCATGTATGGAGGGGGGTGGTTTTGAAAATGTTGTCCTCGCCATAGCACAGCGCACATTCGCCTTAAGCTTCTGCAGAAGCTTTGCGGATGGAGGGGGCCCGCTTTCAAAATGTGGCACTCGCCGCAGCGCGGCGTACATTCGTCGAACAAGTTCGCGAAATCTTGAAGAATGGAGGGCGGTTTCTTTTCGAATCGTGGCTCTCGCTTTAGCGCTGCGCACGTTCGTCTCAAAAGTTTGCAGCAGCTGCATGGCAATTCCTTTTCAAACTTGGGCTCTCGCCTGAGCTCCACGCACGTTCGCGCAGCAATTGCGAATGGATTATGGGCGGTTGCTTTTCAAAGCGGTGCTTTCGCTTGGGATCTCCTTCGTTAGAACATACAAACTTGAACATCTGTAACGGCTAGGCGGACGAAAGGGCCATTCCTTCTCAAAATTGGGTGTTCGCTGCAAACTTTTGAGATTGCACGGGCGGAAGGCGGCTCATTTTCAAACCTTGGTTCTCGCTGGAGACTTCCTCGGCCCTCAAAGCCCGGTAGGCCGAAGAGACGTCCGCAGGAACGTGCCCGTGCCCGTGCCCGGGGAACGACATGCGACCTGTGGGCGGGTGGTGGGACCTGTGTGTGTGGGCCGCCCTCTAGGCATGTGCAACAGAGAATTGCACGTGAGTCCGCAAGTACTCCACATCCTTCAATAAGCACCCCCCCTGTGCCAACCTGTCCGACGCCCCTTGCCCGCCCTCCCACCTGCCCCAAACCCACCCCCTCTCGCTCCTCAACCTGCCCACGCCCCCCGAAGGACAGCGGTTTCCCACCCCCCACGCGATCCCCCTCCCCACGCTTATTGAGAGACTTGGAGTAGGCGTGTGCAGACAGCCGCAGCTACGCTCGTAACCACACCAGAGCAGGATCCCCAAACGACGCCTGCGCCCCGAAACTCCTCCTACGCTGCTTGCTCAGAGACCTTGGCTGGGCATCCCGGGCCTTCGGCCCGTGCCCGCCCGCGGGCACCCCGTGGGCGCCCCGCGCTGGTGGGGGGGGGGGGGGGGGGGGGCATGTGGAGGTCCCGCCTGGCGCCAGCCCGTGGGCGCTTCGCGGGCGCCTCGTGGGCGCCCCGCGCTGGGGGGGGTTCTGCCGAGGCCTCGCCGGGTGCTCCCGGGTGCTCGTCCGTGGTCGCCTCTCGGGCGCCCCGCTCTGAGGGGCGGCTCCGCTGACGTTTCGCCCGGCGCCTGCGCCTGGGGCGCCCTGGCTCACGGGGCCGTCTGGAGAACATCTTGGACCGCCGGAAAGCCGTCTTGGGTCGTCTCGGGGCCTCCATGGGCCGTCTCGGGGCTCTTCTGGGGAGCTCCAATGCCGTTTCGGGCCCTTCCGGGGGCCCTCCAGAGCCGTTTCCGGGTTCTCTGAAGGCTCCAGGGACTGGGGGCCCACGCGAACCCACCAGCATCTTTCGGATTTATTTGACTGGATATATTTATATATATATATATATATTATATATATATATATATATTATATAATTATATATATATAATCCTCTTCCTATATTTCCCCACGTGTTTCGTGGGGCTCTGGTTTTCTTCCCTGCCGCCGCGCACCCGCGTCTCCTCACCTCCCCTCCTCCCTCTTCTTCCTCTCTTCACCCGCGCTCAACACATGCACGGCAAGTACATGACACACGCGTCTACATGCAGCCGCACGCATGCACACATTCGCACACACAACACACACACATCATACAACGCTAGTGCGCGCCTGGCGTGTTCACTGCATCAGAGCCGGGCGTGGCAGGGCCTAGCAGGCGTGGCGCTTCCTCGACGCCACAGGGGGTGCGCTGGGGGTGGAGGCCCACCGCGGTCTCTATACGCGCCAATGTCGCAGGGCCTAGCAGGCGTGGCACTTCCTCGACGCCACAGGGTGCGCGCTGGGGGTGGGGGCCCACCGCGGTCTCTATACGCGCCAATGTCGCAGAGCCAAGCAGGCGTGGCACTTCCTCGACGCCACAGGGGGTGTGCTGGGGGTGGAGGCCCACCGCGGTCTCTATACGCGCCAATGTCGCAGGGCCTAGCAGGCGTGGAATTTCCTCGACGCCACAGGGGGTGCGCTGGGGGTGGGGGCACACCGCGGTCTCTATGCGCGCCAATGTCGCAGGGCCCTACAGGCGTGGCATTTCCTCGACGCCGGAGGGGGTGCGCTGGGGGTGGGGGCCCACCGCGGTCTCTATACGCGCCAATGTCGCAGGGCCTAGCAGGCGTGGCACTTCCTCGACGCCACAGGGGGTGCGCTGGGGGTGGGGGCCCACCGCGGTCTCTAAACGCGCCAATGTCGCAGGGTCTAGCAGGAGTGCATTCCTCGACGTCAAAGGGGGTGCGCTGGGGGGGGGTGCCCACCGCGGTCTCTAAACGCGCCAATGTCGCAGGGCCTAGCAGGCGTGGCATTTCCTCGACGCCACAGGGGGTGCGCTGGGGGTGGGGGCCCACCGCGGTCTCTTTACGCGCCAATGTCGCAGGGTCTAGCAGGCGTGGCACTTCCTCGACGCCACAGGTGGGTGCGTTGGGGGTAGGGGCCCACCGCGGTCTCTATACGCGCCAATGTCGCAGGGCCTAGCAGGCGTGGCACTTTCTCGACACCACAAGGGGGTGCGCTGGGGGTGGGGGCCCACCGCGGTCTCTATACGCGCCAGTGTCGCAGGGCCTAGCAGGCGTGGCACTTCCTCGACGCCACACGGGGTGCGCTGGGGGTGGGGGCCCACCGCGGTCTCTATACGCGCCAATGTCGCAGGGCCTAGCAGGCGTGGCATTTCCTCGACGCCACAGGCCCACCGCGGTGCGCCTGGGGGTAGCAGGCGTGGTCGACGCCACGCTGGGGGTGCGGTCTCTATACGCGCCAATGTCGCAGGCCTAGCAGGGTGGCACTTCCTCGACGCACAGGGGTCGCTGGGGGTGGGGCCACCGCGGTCTCTATACGCGCCAATGTCGCAGGGCCTAGCAGGCGTGGCATTTCCTCGACGCCACAGGGGGTGCGCTGGGGGTGGGGGCCCACCGCGGTCTCTATACGCGCCAATGTCGCAGGGCCTAGCAGGAGTGGCATTTCCTCGACGCCACAGGGGGTGCGCTGGGGGGGGGGGGGCCCACCGCGGTCTCTATACGCGCCAATGTCGCAGGGCCTAGCAGGCGTGGCCCTTTCTCGACACCGGAGGGGTGCGCTGCAAGCTCCCAGGGCGTGGCAGGCGTGGCATTTCCTCGACGCCACAGGGGGTGCGCTGGGGGTGGGGGCCCTGTGCGATGCAGGCTCCCAGGGCGTGGCAGGCGTGGCATTTCCTCGACGCCACAGGGGGTGCGCTGGGGGTGGGAACTTGTGTTTTGTCAAGATCTGTAAACACCTTGGCTCAAGCCGGCTCGGCGCGCCTGCGCGGTCACGCAGGCGCGCTCCTGTAGTCCTACTTCAAAGCACCGCCCGACCTGCGCGGCAGCCATGCCCCCAAAAATCGCCGTGGATGCACTGCCACCTCCATGTTTGGCGATGAAGACTGCAATGGTTCAGATGGGCGGCGAGGGTCTGCGAACACACGCGACTTAAATAGGTATGTGGGGTTCCTCGGGTAGCGTAATTTTAGAAGCCCGGGGGGGGGGGGAAACCCCCCCCCCCAAAAAAAAGAACTGGATCCCTGGGATCTGGGTTTCTCGGGCTCCCTTGGACGTCCTTGGGAAAAGTCACCCGGCTTTCCGGGTCTCCACAAACGCCTTGCCAGCAGACCCAGAGCGATCCGAGGGGTCATCAGAAAGGCTCAAGGGAGGCCCCAGACAGCACAAGAGCGCTCCGGACTCCAATTGCGTCAGGACGGCCCCCAAACCCCCAAGGCACCCCAAAAAGCTTCCCAAGGGGCCAGCAAAGCACACACATCGTCCCATTCTCTTCGTAAAACTTATAATTTTAGCATATTCGCCTTTCGGATTTCATCAGCTTTCAAGACGGTTGCAAAGCCCCCAAGATCGCCTCAAGACGCCCCAAAAGGCCCCCAAGAAAGCTTCAAGACGGCCGAGCCGGGCCCCACGATCGCCCACGAGAGCCCCAAGACAGCCCATAATGGAACCAAGAGGCCCCCCAAGGGCTCCCAGCACAGACCCAAAAGGGCCATGGGAGGTCCCCGGAAGTGCCCAAGATGGGTCCAAAGGGGGCTCCAGCGGGCCCAAGCTCCCCAAGACGGCCCAAGAAGGCCCCAGGACGGCCCATGAAGGCGCCAAAACCCCACGTATGTTTCCGAATGCCAACATAAAGACCCCCAAGGCACCCCAAAAAGCTTTCCAAGGGGCCTTCAAACACAAAAATCGTCCCATTCCCTTCGTAAAACTTACAATTTTAGCATATTCGCCTTTCGGATTTCATCAGCTTTCAAGACGGTTTCAAAGCCCCCGAGATCGCCTCAAGACGCCCCAAAAGGCCCCCAAGAAAGCTTCAAGACGGCCGAGCCGGGCCCCACGATCGCCCACGAGAGCCCCAAGACAGCCCATAATGGAACCAAGAGGCCCCCCAAGGGCTCCCAGCACAGACCCAAAAGGGCCATGGGAGGTCCCCGGAAGTGCCCAAGATGGGTCCAAAGGGGGCTCCAGCGGGCCCAAGCTCCCCAAGACGGCCCAAGAAGGCCCCAGGACGGCCCATGAAGGCGCCCAAACGGCCCACGAGGGCCCCGAAAACACCCCCACGATGTTTCCGAATGCCAACATAAAGACCCCCAAGGCACCCCAAAAAGCTTTCCAAGTGGCCTTCAAAACACAAACATCGTCCCATTCCCTTCGTACAACTTACAGTTTTAGTATATTCGCCTTTCGGATTTCATCAGCTTTCAAAACGGTTTCAAAGCCCCCGAGATCGCCTCAAGACGCCACCAAAGGCCCCCAAGAAAGCTTCAAGACGGCCGAGCTGGGCCCCACGATCGCCCACGAGAGCCCCAAGACAGCCCATAATGGAACCAAGAGGCCCCCCAAGGGCTCCCAGCACAGACCCAAAAGGGCCATGGGAGGTCCCCGGAAGTGCCCAGGATGGGTCCAAAGGGGGCTCCAGCGGGCCCAAGCTCCCCAAGACGGCCCAGGAAGGCCCCAGGACGGCCCATGAAGGCGCCAAAACGGCCCACGAGGGCCCCGAAATCACCCCCACGATGTTTCCGAATGCCAACATAAAGACCCAAGGCACCCCAAAAAGCTACCCAAGGGGCCTTCAAAACACAAGCATCGTCCCATTCCCTTCGTACAGCTTACAATTTTAGCATATTCGCCTTTCGGATTTCATCAGCTTTCAAAACGGTTTCAAAGCCCCCGAGATCGCCTCAAGACGCCCCCAAAGGCCCCCAAGAAAGCTTCAAGACGGCCGAGCTGGACCCCACGATCGCCCACGAGAGCCCCAAGACAGCCCATAATGGAACCAAGAGGCCCCCCAAGGGCTCCCAGCACAGACCCAAAAGGGCCATGGGAGGTCCCCGGAAGTGCCCAGGATGGGTCCAAAGGGGGCTCCAGCGGGCCCAAGCTCCCCAAGACGGCCCAGGAAGGCCCCAGGACGGCCCATGAAGGCGCCAAAACGGCCCACGAGGGCCCCGAAAACACCCCCACGATGTTTCCGAATGCCAACATTCATTGATTCTGCTCCCATGACATTTCACATTGTGACCCAGTCGTTGTGGGTCTCGTGGCATGCAGCGAAGATGCCCGAGGATGCCCTGTACGAGTTGCATAAGCATACTCATACTCTTACACACATAAATTTGTATGTGAAATTATATGTACATGTGTACGCTGTATACACATGCAACAATGTAAGTATAGTTTATACACCTAGACACTTGTACTCAACGTTCATGCACGTGCGCGTGTATACATGCATGCGCGCATGTACGCACGCACGCATTCTGCTTGCGTGCAGAACTCACAGGACCAAGGTGCATGGCGCGCAGCGCCAATGCAGCCTTGTATGTATATATATATATATATACATACACATATGTATATGTATGTATGTCTGTCTGCCTGTCTGTCTGTCTGTCTGTCTGTCTGTCTGTATGTATGTATGTATGTATGTGTACCTGTATATATATAGAGAGAGGGACATATCTATCTACATGTAAAACCATACGCACATATATAGGAAAGGGGGAAAAGAGGGGGAGAGAGAGAGAGAGAGAGAGAGAGAGAGAGCGAGAGAGAGATAGACAGAGAGAGAGAGAGAGGGGAGAGGGAGAGAGAGAGAGATGATAGAGATGAGAGAGAGAGAGAAATTAGAGAGAGAGAGAGAGCCATATGTGTATATATATTTAGAGAGAGAGAGAGAGAGAGAGAGAGAGAGAGAGAGAGAGAGAGACATCGAGAGACAGAGGGAGAGAGAACGAGAGAGGTAACATGGGAAACAGCAAGACGCCCGGCAAACCTTTCTCCTCGACCCCCTCCCCCCCCCTCCCCCCCTCCCCTCCCCTCCCCTCCCCTCCCCCTCCCCTTATCCTCGACCCCCCCCTCCCCCCCCACGCTTGCCTGCGGACCTCCCGAAGCACGGGGTCGGCCCCGTCCACGCCGCTCGCCTCGGCCTCCGCGGCGGCCGCCCGCAGCGCCTCGACGCCGCCGTCCCGCAGGGCCGCCTCCAACCGCAGGGTCGCGCGCGCGACCTTCGCGGCGGCCACCTCCAGGAGGAGGGAGAAGGACGACGAGGAGTGAGTGGATAGGAGGAGGAGGAGGAGGAGGAGGAGGAGGAGGAGGAGGAGGAGGAGGAGGGAGGAGGAGGAAGGAGGGGAGGGGAGGAGGAGGAGGAGGAGGAGGAGGAGGAGGAGGAGGAGGAGGAGGGAGGAGGAGGAGGAGGAGGAGGAGGAAGAGGAGGAGGAGGAGGAGGAGGAGGAGGAGGAGGAAGAGGAGGAGATTTTTTGCAATGCACGGCAGCCAGGCGCACACCCAAATCGCGAAAGCAAAAAGGCCGGGCGAAAGAGGAAGAGGAGGAGGAGGAGGAGGAGGAGGAGGAGGAGGAGGAAGAGGAGGAGGAGGAGGGAGAGGAGGACAAAGGCGGAGGAGGAAATGGACCAGGGGGCGGGGGAGATGGAGGATGCAAAGAAATATGATTAACATGGAGGATAAGGAAGATTCCGGGCGGCCATGGCCTCTTTGAGCCTGCGCAGGCCTCCTCAGGCCCTCCAGAACATCCCACGGGGGGGGGCACTCCTTGTCGCCCCCCGTCCCCCTCCTTCCTGTCCTTTCTCCCTCCTGGGCCTCTTCCCTGACATCGTCTCCTCGTCTGCCTCATGCTTCACTTCGCTCTCATCCACCTCCTGGCCTTCTTTGCCCCTCATCCCCCTCCTCCTGTCCTCTTCCTCCTCCTCCTGATCCTGCTCCTCCTCCTGTTCTTCTCATCCTCCGTATCCTCCTCCTCTTCCTCCTCCTATACCCTCGGCCTCCTCCTCCTCTCCCTCCACCCGTCCTGTCTTCTCCGTGGGTGGACGTTGCGGGGCCGCTGCAGCACCTTCTTCGGCCCTGCAACCCTTTGCGCATGCACCCGCGCCCGCGTGCCCAACAAGCAATTATCTACGGTGTGGCACTTGCCTGCCCACCTCGCCCCTTCCCTCCTCCTCATCCGCCTCCTCCTCCTTTCTCTCTCTCTCTCTCTCTTGCCTGTCCTCCCTCGTGCCCCCTCCCCTTCCTCCTCCCCCCGCTCCCCCCTCCCCCCTCGCGGAAGGCGGGCAAACGTCTGTTCGTGTGGAAGCCTTGGTGCATGCCGTGCCGTGTGGGCCGTCCGCAGGGCTGACCTGTCCCACCTGCACCGTCCACCGTGCCACACGTGCAGGGTCTGGTAGCGGCCTGGGGTTAGCAGCAAGATCGCTCAGAGGCAGGGCGCCCGTCCCTCCCCCAAGTCCCCCCCCCCCTTCCTCGCCCCTCCTTCCCCCACGGCCGTCCTCCTGCCGCTGCCCCCCCCCTGCACCTCCGCCCCCTCAAGGCCCAGCTCCGCGGCCAAGCCGAGCGCGCTGTCCAGCAACTGCCCGTCCCGCGCCTCGGAGGGATGGGCGAGGTGGAGGAGGAGAGGCGGAGGAATAGGACCAGCGCGAACCCAAGACTCATCAACGACGCAGTAAACCCTCTCTCCAAGCTCCCTGTTCATAGGCCCCGATTCGAATGTAGTTCCATTGTGGGGGATGCAGCATGGGAAGACAATCGTCGGATGATCCTCGACCGTGCCAAAGCACAACTCCTGGGATTTCAACGCCGCGACTCAACGCAACTGTTGCGCCCTGACAGTCCAACATCGCGCCCGAACACTATTCCTGGGACTTCGACGCCACGAATCAACGTGACTGTTGCGTTCTGACAGTCTAAATCGTGTTAGAACACATATCCGGGGACTTCGACCACACAAGCCCGTAAACCAGTTGCAATGTTTTACAACGAATCTGCGCGGCGCCAAGCCGAGAACCACATGTTGAACATGAACCGCACTCCAGCCCTGAAGCTGATGCACTTTTCCAAAACCAGTGTGCGGGGCGCAGAAGCGAGAGCCCCGCTTTGAAAACGAACCGCTCTCCATCCATGAAGCTGTTGCGCACTTTCAGAGCGAATGTGCGCGGCGCTCAGGCGAAACTCACATGTTTAAAACGCGCCGCCCTCCATGCTTGAAGCTGTTGCAAATTTCAAACATCAAGACCACATGCGGTGAGAAAGTAGCAGACGAAACGCCCAGCCCGTCCGGGCGGAGTTGTTCATGAGGACGAGGAATGGAAGAGGAGGGGGAGGAGGAGGAGGAGGAGGAGGAGGAGGAGAAGGAGGAGGAGGAGAGGAGGAGGAGGAGGAGGAGAGGAGGAGGAGGAGGACGAGAGGAGGATGAAGAGGGAGAATAGGACGAGGGGGGGAGGAGGAGGAGGAGGGAGGAGGAGGAGGAGGAGGAGGACGAGGAGGAGGAGGAGGAGGGGAGGAGGGAGGAGGACGAGGAGGGGGAGAAGGGGGACAACAACGAGCTGGACCAGAGGAACGCCATGATGCGCCAACGACTCCGCGATGCACCCTACCGCCCCAGTCCCGTCCTCATGATCCCCATACATGCGTTGTTTGGGCGATCTCGGAGAACCCTGAACACAAAAACGTTGCCATTTCTTGGGGCGCACTTTTTACCTCCGCCGCCTTCCGCCAGCCTTCCGCCGGCTCCTGCTGGCGGAGGCGGCCTCGTTTTACTTCCGCCGGCCTTCCGCCGCGGAGAAGATGTCATCTCTTTCTGTCCTCGAAGGCGAGGAGGAGGAGGAGGAGGAGGAGGAGGAGGAGGAGGAGGAGAGGGAGGGAGGAGGAGGAGGAGGAGGAGGAGGAGGAGGAGGAGGAGGAGGAGGAGGAGGAGGAGGAGGCAGGGCCCTTTTTGGAACGCCCCGCTTGTCAGTGCAGGGGGGACGTCTCCCTGCAAGGCGACGGGCCCCGCGGGCCTGCCTCTGGGGCGAGGGCGCCGCTCCGAGACCGAGCTGCGCTGCGTCTCTTCCCTGCGCTCGGGGCCCGACTTTGGTTGGGCGTGTTCCCCTACATTGAGGGGTGAAAAAACGACCCGCGTATTGAGGATGGGCAACTGTCCCAAGGATGCCCTTGCAGCCTTGCCTCCTCGGCCCATCCTTAGCGACGTTCGCTGGCCGTCCTCGTTCGAAAAACGTCAACATCGCCTTCTAAGGCCCTTGAATTGAGGGATGAAAAAACGACCCTACCCTGGGTTACAAGTGCGTGGTCTGTAAACCTCCTGGGACCCCCCAAAGCCTAGAACCGCCAGGACGCGGCACACCACGCAGGGTGTACTCTGTTAGCCCACAGGAATTTCAGCGCACAGCGCCTCGCAAACCAGGGTAGGGGCGTTTTTTATGCCCTTGACTACGGGCGGATTTTGGACGAAAGGCAAGACATACCCCAACACACACGCAAGCATATTCACACATGATCAACCAATTGTCCCATTCTTCTTGTTTGTTTTGTGTGTGAGAGAGAGATTATTTTGGAATATCCCCCCTGTGTAGGGACAGGCCCGACTTAAGACTACAAGAGGCCTCCCACGAGAAACCCAACCCTGAGACGCCAAGACGTCCATCGTGTGAGAACGCCACGCCTCCCACGGCAAAACCATCGAAACCCACGAAACCCAGGGCACCCTGGAGGCAAGCAGACCCGCTCTCCATCAGTGCAACTGCTGCGCATTGTTATGTGCATATTTTTGGCAACATCCTCGAACGACTACCCCATGTTCAACATGAACAGCTCTCCAGCCTTGTAGCCGGTGGAGAACTGTAAGCATAGTGTGCGTGGCGTTAGAGTGAAAGCTACATTTTGAACACGATTTGTCCTCCATCCTTGAAAGCTGTTGGTGGCGTTGAAAACGAATGTGTGCGGCGTCTAGGCGGGAACGGTATGTTTAAGCAGTTATCCGCCTTTCACCACCGTATTTGTTGGAAAGTTTGAAAACCTGGATGTACGCGGCGCAAGTATTCGTCAACATGTGAACACGATTCGCCCTCTACCCTTATAACCGGTGAAGGTTTTAACCAGTATCTGCGCGGCACCAAAGGCGAGAACCACATATTGAAAACGAACGGTACTCCATCGGCGTAGCTGTTCGCAATTTCAAGCTTCAAGGTCATATGCAGTGAGAATCTCAGGCGAAACGCCTGGCCCGCCCTACGGACACGCATGGCGAAGCGCCGAGGAGGACTTGTCGATAAAGCAGGGGGATGGAGGAGGCGGCGGAGGAGAATGGGGATGAAGATGAGGAGGAATAATATTTATGAAGATGATGCTGATGTTGATGTTGTTGATGATGATCGTGCTGATAGCGATAATGATGGTGGTGCTTATGATGCTGCTGATGATGGTGGACGATGGCGATGGCGATGACGATGATGTTGCTGCTGCTGATGATGATGATGGTGGAAATGATGCCGATGATGATGATGGTGATGATGAGGAATAGGCATGGTTTTGCCTTCTGGCCAAGCCAGACCCGCACCACCATGACAACACCCGCAAGGAAGACCTACTTCCCCCAGAGGAGAGGGAGCACTGAACTAATCACTCGTCAACGCCGTAACCCAAAGGAAGAACAACACGATACACCTCGGCAACCGCGCCCGTGCGGCGGCAAACCACGGTGAGCTTGGCGAGCAACGCCACGATCCCAGCACAAGCATGTACCTGAAAATTGTTGCATACGACGAGAAAAGGCCGCCGATCCACCCCCGACCAGAAGAACACCTAACATTACCAATGCGTGCAGATACGCCGTGCAGCACAGCGTCCTACCATACCACCACGACGGAGGAGGGCCAATAGCTGTAGCATACAACACAGAGGTTTGTGAGTCATGAGCCCGTGACCGTAAACCATGTTAGTAAAACCGACTGGGCATCTCCAATAACCGCAACGATGAAACACATATGGTTACCGCGCAAGCACTCTCAGAACGAACCCATCCGAGACCCTCCGGAAATGCACGCTGCCATGACAAAGCACGACCATGTCACGCATCGAGAGCAATGTTTCAGGAACAGGTCCATCACAACTCGCCCAGTGCCAGCGGTAGCGAATCCCAGGTTCACCTCGAATTGGGCACTGACGAAAAGTACGCACGGTACAATCCTGAAGCACTTTGAAGGCCTACCTGGAACACTGCAAGGCTGAGCTGGAGCGGGCTTGAGCCATGTGGGCTTGGGGAGAGGAGGATAAGGAGAAATTGGATGACGATTGCGACGACGACGAGGAAGCTGACGATGGCGATGATGATGCTGCTGATGATGATGGCGATGATTCTGATACTTATGATGATGTTGATGCTGATACTAATGATGATGATGATGATGATGATGATGATGATGATGATGATGATGATGATGATGATGATGATGATGATGGTGATGGTGATGGTGATGGTGATGGTGATGATGATGATGCTGATGATGATGATGATGACTATGATTATGATGATGCTGATGATGCTGATGATGATGACGTGGCGATGGTGATGGTGATTGAGAGGAGGGGGTATGAGTGAGAATGATGGTAGGGATGATGATGAGGAGGAAGAAGAAGAGGAGTAGGGGGAAGGAGGAGATGGATCAGCATGATGACTATGGTGATGTGGATGAGGAGCACGATGAGGAGAAGGGAGAGGATCGGAGAGACACGTAATGTTTGGGGGGGAAGTGGGAAACAGGGGGTGGATAGAGGCGGTTCGAGGAGCAAGAGGACGACGATAAACAGCAGGTGGGACGAGGAGGACACCGAGGATGAGGGGGAGCAGGAAGAGGAGGAACAGGAACATAATAAGGACGGATGCGTGAGAACACAGGAGGACGGACGGACGCTCGCGTGCGCGCCGGGGCGCGGTCCCTCTGGGAACGGAGCGTTGGCGCCGTGGCGCCAAGATACTGTGGTGTATGGTAAAGCATGCATTCGAGACACATCAAAATTAGGTGCATCAGAGGGGAGGGAGGGAGGAAGGAGAGGCATTCTTGTTGTCGGAGTCTTTGCGTGTGCGTGTCGTGGATAGTGATGCCGTCGTTGATGCTTTACACTCGTATGGTCACATGGCAATCTCAAATTTGGAAGCTGGAGTCGGAGCTGGAGTCGGAGAGATGGGATCCAAGAGTGGAGCCAGAGTTGGAGAAATTAGATAGGATGGGAGCCGGAATCGGAAAAATGGGAGCCGGAGAGGGAAGGAGGCGATGACGATGACGACGATGCTGCTGCTGATGACGATGACATGCTGACGATGACTGTGATAACTGTGGCGACGATGGCAGTGATAATTGATGGTGATGATGAGGATGGTGGTTATGATGATGAGGATGATAATGATGCTGCTGCTGATGATGCTGATGATGATGATGATGATGATGATGGTGATGATGATGATGATGATGATGATGATGATGCTGATTCGGTTGATGATTGCCGTCCCGCGCCTCGCACGCCTCTGCGAGGGCGACGCGGCACTCTGCCTTCCTCCGCTCCACCTCCAGGACCTCGCGGGCACTGGCGACCTCCCTGGGCACCAGCTCCAGGTCCTCGCACTTATTGATGAACTCCTCCGGCGCGAGCGGCGCACGAGAAGAAGAAGGATTGACCGCGGCTCGGGAAGGAGGAGGCGGAAGGGGGAGAATGAGGATGATGATGCAGTTGAGGAGCAGGAGCAAGATGATTGCACTGGGCCCAGGAAGAAGGAATAGCAGCCGTGAGACGATGACAAGACGAGAAGGGCGCGTGGCCCAAGGAGGACGAGGAGGAACATATATGAGAAGGAGGAGGTCAGGGCAAGGCAACAAAGAGTGCGTCCGCGGACGAACACACCTCAGGACGAGAAAGGAACATCTGAGGGACCGCGAGAGCGGCTCAGTGAGATGGACGAGGAGGATGGCGAGGAGGAGGAGGAGGAGGAGCAGGAGGGGGCAGGATGCGGATGAGGCGAGGATGATGCTGCTGACGATGATGCTGATGATGATGGTGCTGCTGCTGCTGCTGATGATGATGATGATGATGATGATGATGATGATGATGATGATGATGTTGATGATGATGCTGCTGCTGATAATGATGTCAATGATGAGGAGGAGGAAGGAGGAGGATGGCGAAGATGAGGAGTAGGAGGAAGAGGAGGTGAATGAGGAGAGAACGCGACGAGTGAAGCTGACGATGAGGATGAGGAGAAGGAGTATGAGGATGAGGGGAAGGAGGAGGAATAGTGAGGAGGAGGAGGGGGAGGACCAGTGTAAACCCAATGCGCGTCAACGATGTCGCAATGCACCCTCTATCCAAATTCTCTCTTCATAGGTTCCACGAAGCTGTTGCAAACTTGCAAGACAAATGTGCGCGGCAGTGAAACGAAAACCACATTTCGAAAATGAGTCACCCCTGTAAACGTTTACAACGAATGTGCGCGGCGCTAAGGTGAGAAGCACATACGGCCCGCCCTCCATCTGTGAAGCTGTTGCGAACCTTACAAAAATTGTGTGCGGCGATAAAGCGAGAACCGCATTTTGAAAACGACCCACCCTCCAACCGTGAAGCTGCTGCAAACTTTACAGACAGATTTGCGCGGCGCTAGAACGATAAACACATTTTGAAAACGGCCCGAGCTCCATCCGTGAACTGTTGTGAGTCTCGAGCCTCATGGCCACAAATAGTGAGGAACTTTCTGGCGAAACATCTGGCCCGCCCTACTGACACATCTGGCGGTGCGGCAGGGAGGAGTTACCTATAAGGAGAAAGAACGAGTGACGGAGGATGAGTGAGAGGGGAAGGGAGGGGGAGGAGGAACTCCTCCAAGGCCTCGATCTTCCGGCTCTGCACCGCCGCGCGGAGGCCCTCGATGCTGGCGGCCTCGATCTCCCTCTTCCTATGGCCGTAGAAGATCCGGCGCCGTTCCAGGAGGCTGCCAGCCTTCAGCCACTCTCTCCTTCTCCTCTACCCTCCTCCTCCTCCTCCTCCTCGTCGTCCTCCTCCTCCCCCTCCTCCTCCCCCCCTTGCTCGAAAACCTCCTTTTTCTTCACCCCCTCACCTCCTTCTCCTCCTTCTCCTCCATCCTCTTCTTCCCGTCGTCGCCTTCCTCTTCCCCCCCTCCTCCTCCTCCTCCTCCTCCTCCTCCTCCTCCTCCTCTTCATGCTTACCGTCCTCCTCCTCCTTCTCACCTCTTCCTCCTCCTCATTATCATCATGCGCCGCCTCCGTATCCTTTTCCTCCTCTTCCTCCTCCTCTTCCTCCTCTTCGTTCCTCCTCGCCCTACCTCCGTTCCTCATCGTCCTCACCGTCCTCATCGTCTTCATCCTCGTCCTCCTCCCTCTCCTCCTTCGCCTCCTTCTCCTCCTCTTCCTGATCCCTGTTTATCGTCCTCCCTCCTCCTCATTGCCCTCCCACTTGGCCACCCCCCTTCCCCCCTCCTCCCTCACCTCCCTCTTAACCCCCTCAGCGTGCTCCTCCCTCATTTCCCTCTCCATCAGCTCCATCCGGCGCCCGACCTTCGAATTGACGAAAACCTTCGTCTTGCCTATCTTGATGGCGGTGTCCTCCATGGCGGGGTCCAGCTCGTCTGCAAAGTCCACGGCCTGGCCGCCGACACTCGCCCCACCCCCGTTCACCTCTTCCTCACCCCTTTCTCCTCCTCGCCCCCCCCCCCCGCGCCCATTGTGGCTCAAACCCATGCGCGCCGCGCCCCCGGGCGTGGCGCCCACTCGCGCGACCGTGTAGCCGGCCACGTTCAGGCACGCTCCCATGCGCGTGGATCCACCTCGCTGTGCTGCTCCAAGGCGCCCAGCCTTCGATGACTACCACTGCCGTTGCGGCAGTGCAGCGCTGGCGCAGGCGACGGCGTCCAAGCTCAACCCAACCCTACGGCGGAGGGCTACGAGGTGCAGAACATCTTCACAAAGCTGACGTTCGCCTTCGAGGGTTACCCCTTCCGCTACTGCGGCGCGTCGCTGGCGCAGGCTGCTGCGTACAAGCTCAGCCATACGGCTGAGTGCTACGAGGGGCAGAGCATCTTCACGGGGCTGACGTTCGCCTACGAGGACTACCCTGCCTGCTGCGCGTCCCTGGCGCAGGCGACGTCCTCCAAACTCAGCCACACTTCGGATTGATACGAGGTGCTGGGCATCTCCACGGGGCTGCAGTTCGGCTACGAGAACAAACTCTTCTGCTACTGCAGCGCGTCCCTGGCGCAGGCGGCTGCGTCCCAGCTCAACTACACGGCGGAGTGCTACGAGGGGCATCTTTCACTGGGCTGCGGGTCACCGACGAGGACTACCCCTTCTGCTACGGCAACGTGTCCCTGGCGCAGGCGGCGGCATCCAAGCTCAACCACACGGCGGAATGCTACGAGATGCCAAACATCTCCACGGGGCTTCCGTTCGCCTATTACCTCTTCCGCTACTACAGCGCGTTCCTGGCGCAGGCGGCGGCGTCCAAGCTCAGCCATACAGCGTAGTGCTATGAAGGGCAGATCATCTCCACGGGATTGGTGATCACTTGCAAGAGCTACCCCTTCCGCTACTGCAGCGTGTCCCTGGCGCAGGCGGCGGCTTCCGAGCTGAGCCACGCGGTTGAGTGCCACGAGGTGCTCGGCATCTTCACGGGGTTGCCGTTCGCCTGCGATGTCACGGGCTGCCTCGTCGCCTACCATTACTGGCGTTCCACCTCGGTGCAATGCTCCTTAAGGTGCCGGGCATCTTCACAAGGCTGCCGTTGGCCTTCGTGGACTATCCCTTCAACTGCGGCAGCGCTTCCCTTACGTGGGTGACGGTGTCCAAACTTAGCCACAAGGGGCCAGAATATCTTCGTGGGGCTGCCGTTCACCTACGAGGACTACCCCTTCCGCAACGGCAGCGTGGCCCTTTGCGCAGGCGGCGGGCTCCGAGCTCAGCCACACGGCGGAGTGCTACGAGATGCCAGGCATCTCCACGGGGCTCCCGTTCGCCTACGAAGGCAACCCCCTCCGCTTCTGCAGCGCGTCCCTGGCGCAGGCGGCCGCGTCCCAGCCCAGCTACTCGTCGGAGTGCTAGGATGTGCCGAGCATCTTCTCGGGGCTGCGGGGTACCTACGGGGACCACCCATTCCGCTACGGCAGCGCGTCCCTGGCGCAGGCAACGGCTTCCAAACTCAGCCATATGGCGAAATGATACGTGGTGCTGGGCATCTTCATGGAGCTGCCGTTCGCCTACGCGGACTACCCCTCAGCAGTTCGTGAGCTAGGGCGCGATCTGCCCCGCTAGCGCGCACCTTTGGCAGCGGTCTAGTCTCTCGTTGTCCCCGCCTCTGGCGGTTCGCATTCAATTCGGTGGCTCCCCGCCACGGTCTCCGAGTTCTCTGCGAGCTGTCTTGCTCCCTCTCGGGGAATCAGTTTATGCCTCGAGGCGAATACGTCCACCCAGGACGTATACGCCTGGATCATCGAGGCGAATCCGTCGCACCCCAGTCGCCTCTCTGCCAACTCCAAGGCAAAGAAAGCGATGCCGTCGAAGGAGAGCGGCGTCATCCATCCGAGGGGAACCATCTGCTCGACCCTCGGCCGCGGGGCCCGAGCCGCTTGGCAAACCCCTCGGACCGCCTGCCGCGGAGGGCCCGCCAGGTGGCTACCAGGGGAGTCGGCCACCTCGCCTGGACCACCAGTCGCGGGTGAGGTGGGAACCGCCTGCTCGGGAGCCTGTTGCAGGCCACCTGCCACCCACTGGCTCGGAGGGTCAGCCACCTCGCCTGGACCACCTGCCACACGCAGGGTGGGGACTGCCTCCTCTGGAGTCCGCTGCGGGCCACCTGCCACGCGCTGGCTCGTGAGGGCAGCCTGCGGAGGTGGGGAGGTCGAGTGTCGTGCTCGTCATCGAAGGCGACCTGCATGCCGGTGGCTGCCCGGCGCGCTCCGGCCTTCGGCCAACGCCCGCGAGCAACCCGAGACAAGTAGGATGCCCCTGTAGTCGAAGGAACTCCAGTGCACGGCGCCAGCAGGCCCCTCCAAAGGGCACGGAGGCCTGGCGCGGCGACCCATCCGCAGGCCGTGCAGTTCCACACGTCCAAGCCCAGCTGGAGCACCACGCTGTGCGAATTGTCCACGCGCTGGCCTCACTGCCGTCGGGGAGCGATCCAGGAGCGGCGAGGCTACTGGTCCTGGGGACCAGCCCTCCGCAGAGGCGGCGTCGCCGTTCAGCCTGGCCAGCGTAGCCCGCTGAGCTTCTGCAGGTCTGGTAGCTGCGCCCGCCAGCGTGCAGGACGCGCTGCGAGCTGGAGGCTGCGATGAGCCGCGGAGCTGGCGGCGCGCGGCGGAGATGCCTTGTCCTGGCGCCTGGGCCTGGCCCGCTGCGAGGCCGAGGTCCTCCAAGCTGACGCCCGCCCTGCCCGCCAGCTGGGCGCACTGCGCGCGGAGCACGTCGACGTCGTTCGCCGCTGCTCGGGGCGTTGCTTCGGTGGCGACTCGAGCCTGCACCTCTCACTGCTGGGCGCGTGCGGCTGCCTCCGCTTGGCGCGCCTCCTCCAGCCTCGAGTGGGCCGCCTGGGCTAACCTCCTGGCACTTGCGCGCCTCCTCCTCAGCCGCCACAGCCCTTCTGGCCTTCACCGCTTTGAGGTTCGCCTCGCGGAGCAGGGCTGCTGTGGGCTTCGCCTTGTCGCGAGCAGCCCTGGCCGCCTCAAGCTTCGACTCTAGCTCGGCCAATGCTGCTGCTGCCAGCGTGCCCTCGGAGCAGTCGAGCTCGGACTCCAAATTCTTCTTCGTGCGCAAGAGCTGCTCGATCTCGTTCGGCTGCTGCTCCATGCCCTGGCCTTTGGCCCATGGGCGGGCTGCTTCCGTGGCAGACGGCGCATCCCGCTGGCCGCCTGTGCCTTGATCCCTCGAGCGACTTGACGTTCGTCTCGAGTGCCCTCTCCCTCTTCTCTGCCGCCTTGAGCTTGGCCGCCAACCACACCACCCGCGAACATCCAGCGGTCCAGGCTCCTCCTGAGCGCGATGCAGGGCACGCGGGCGCACGGCTGTGCGTGCAGAAGCCGAACTGGCCCAACCCGCACATGGTGCACGTCCACGTCGGCCCGGCCCGTCGGGAGCACCCCAGCTGCTGCCCGCGAGCCCCGCCTTACCGCCTCCTTTGCCACCGCTGTGCGCCCAGGCGACTGCAGGCCGCCTGCGCCCACCTCCGCGTCCGCCGCCAGCCCCGCCGCCGCCTGCCATCCGCGCGCCCCTCGCGCCGTTGCGAGCCCAGAAGGGGCTGTCGCGAACTGTGTGTCATCTTGAGACAACATGGCTACGGATGAGGAGGATGATGAGGAGGAGGGAGGAGGAGGAGGCGGCGGAGGAGGAGGATGAGGAGGAGGAGGGGAAGGAGGAGGAGGAGGAGGAAGAGAAGGAGGAGGAGGAGGAGGAGGAGGAAGAGAAGGAGGGAGGAGGACGATGAGGGGAGATGATACGGAATCCACTATCGAGAACGGGGGGGGAGGAGCACGGGAGGAAGGGGGCATGCGGAAGAATCCGGGGCAGAAGGCTGACGGGGTGGTGCAGCCCACGGCCTGACTGCCGATCTTGGCCCCTCCGACTTCGAAAAGCGCGCTCTTGAAGCGCGTAGCCACCTCTCGGCTCCTCTCCACGCTCTGCGGGCCGTCCAGCTTCTCGAAGCCTCAGGAGAAGGAGGAGGCAGATGTGATGATGCTGCAGCTGATGATGACGATGATGACGAGGACGAGGACGAGGATTATTATGATGGTGGTGGTTGTGATGATGGTGCTGCTGATGATGATGGTGATGACGATGGTGACGAGGACGATGATGATGCTGCTGCTGGTGGTGGTGATGATGCTGCTGCTGATGATGATGATGCTGATGATGAGAATGATGAGGATGATGATGATGCTGCTGATGGTGATGGTGATGGTGATGACGATGCTGATGCTGATGCTGCTATTGCTGCTGATGATGATGCTCATTATGATGATGACACTGATGATGACGATGATGATCATGGTGATGGTCGTGATGCTGCTAACGAGGATGATGAGGACGTGGACGAGGATGAGGACGAGCAGGACGAGGAGGCGGTGGAGGAGGAGGAGAAGCAGGAGGGCGAAGAAGGCCTTATGCGGGATCAATCCCCCGCACTCGGGGCCCCGGGGCCGCAAGGCCGACCTCAGCCCGCTGAAGACGAAGATCTACGAGTCCGTGTACTTTGAGTACGAGTCCGACGGACCAGCTTTCAGGATCTGCTGACCGATGCTGGTGCGCAGCGACGCGCCGTGCCAGCTGCGCTGCCCGCCGCGGCAGCGCGACGAGCTACGACAACTTCAAGTGCATCGCTGCGAGGGCCACCAGCAGAACTATCTTGAAGGGGCCCCAGGACACACACATAAATACACACAAATAAAACTATTCACCATATTTTCCCATATTTCCTCTGTTTTTGTTCTCCCCCCCAATTCCCATATGTTCCCATATTTTCTGGGGAGTCGACGATCAATTGTGTCTGTGTGTTTCTTTCCCTCCTGATATCTAGACTGCCCGCAGAGCTTTCACGGCCAGAAGAAGAGCCTCGACGGCAGCGCGCAGCGCTACGAGGACCACCCGCGCAGCTTCGACGGCCACCGGCAGAGCCACGGGGGCCGGCGGAGCTCCGAGAGCCTCCAGCAGCGCCACAGCGGCCACCAGCTGAGCTACGAGGACCACCAGCTGAGCTGCACACGCAACAACCAGACCTTCTGGGACCACCAGCTGCGCCACGAGGGCAGGAAGCAGAGCTTCGAGAACCAGCCGCTGAGCTACGAGGGCCACCAGCAGAGCTTCGAGAACCATCAGCTGTGCTACGAGGGCCACAGGCAGAGCTTCGAGAACCACAAGCTGAGCGTCGAGGGCCACCAGCTGTGGCACCAGGGCCACCCGCTGAGCTACAAGAGCTGCCAGAAAAGCTACGACGGCCACCAGCTGAACCACGAGGGCCACAGGCTCAAGTGCGAGGGTCACAGGCAGGGCTACGAAGACCACAAGCTGAGCTACAAGAGCCACCAGCAGTGCTGCCAGGGCCTTCCGAGCTACTACGGGGGGGCTTCCAGCAGGCTCACGAGGCCCACCGGCTGAACTACGGGGACCACAAGCACAGCTACGAGCTGTGCCTCCCCTGCCCCCATGGGCGCCTCAACCCGAGGTAGGCCTGGGCATGCGCCATTTAAAAAATGGCATGATGGGTATCTCCCCTCGAGGCGGCACCACACGCCTGGCTCTTCGGGCTACGTCGCCAAGCCCCCCCCGTCGTCGCCACGGCTGGACTCGATGGAACTCAGCTGGGAGGGCCAGGAGTGCGAGCACGAGAGGGCGAATCCAGAGCACGAACAGGAGGACGGGGGGAGCGACGAGCGGACCGACCCCATCATTATCACGTACGTTGTGCTGGAGGGGATGAATTTCCTCAAGACTATGACCGACGAGGGGGAGGACATCACGGAGGAGCTCGCCATCATGGCCATCGCCGCGCTCACGAATCCCGCTCAACTCAAGCCCCACGACACGATGGTGTCCCACGACACGACACGATGAGCTCCAACGGCCGCTACGATGACGGGGACGAGATGGTCCGTGCGCTGGGCCCCTTTGAAGCCATCAAGGCAGCCCTGTCGGCTCGAGTATGCAATCACAAGTGGGTCAGCTGCCCACATAGATTTGCCTCCTGCCAGAGCGTTTCTTCGACCAGACACGCAGGATGCGGTTCAGCGCGGATGCATAGATTGCGCATAGTGGGCTGGAACCCGCAGAGCTGCACAGGCGCAAGGCAGGAAGAGATTGTCACGGAGCTGCGGAACTTCGACGCGGTGCTGCTTGCAGGAACGCATTCCGTCGACTACCGACAGAATCATACAGGCAGTCAGATACTTCGACGACGTGTAGCAGGACGGTTGCTTCTCGAGGCGCCTTTTGGCCCCAACCCGCACGCGAACTCAAGTCGTGGATGTGCTATCGTGCTCGGCGGGGGCCTGAAGGAGGACCACATCGTGGCCAGCTGGTGTTCTCCGCGGGAAGCTCGTGGGAGAGCAATTGCAGTTCGAGTCAAGCGTGGACGCCAAGACTTAACTCTGGTTTCTCTTTACTTCCCGCCTCGGGATGTGAGACTACAAAAAACGAGCTTATTTTCGAACGGTACGAATTCTGAGAGACTGGCTCCAAGACATTTTATCTCAAACGCCGACGCGTTCAACACCGTTTATCTTTTGTGATCTGAATGACGGGATGGGTTTACAGAAGCGAGGCTCGGGCAGTGTGGATTTGCGCTCAAGTGCTATCGGTATTCCTACACTGGAGCGCACAGATGACGGAGCTGGTGCATTGTTTCGAGCAGTTCTGGAGGAACATCGGCTTCTTGCAGGCAACACGGTGGGTGGGAGAAGCTCGCCGACTTTCTATGGTGACACGTACAGCTCCAGAATAGATTACCTCAGTTATCCAGCGGACATGGACGCTATGACCATCACTTGTGGCACTATCCCGAAGTTGGGTGCAAAGCTGCAACTACAACGTGGTGCGGCTCCCAGAGATCATTTACCGCTGGTGTGCGTGATGAATTATGCCAAGTATTCTCCTGAAGTTCAATCTGAACCCACTTTGAGATGGGACCGAGACGCTCTTATGATGGCATTGAAGAAGGGCACCCACAAGCGAGAGTTTCTTGAACACGTGCGTGATTCACTGAATACGGTGGACCCGTACTTAATTAAAGAGAGCGCATCGCCAGATGACATATTCGAGATTCTGGAGGGACATGTGGTTTCTGCGGGCGAGAAGTTCTTTACTACGGCCTCGCGGCCACCTCCTTGTGAAGAGTACTCGCAACACTGTGCTGATCGTCGACGTTTGTTACAACAGTGAACAGAGATCAGAGCAGGGAAGTTCGGCGGCAGCGAGGACGAGGTGAAACAGATCGACTCGGACTTAGACAGCTTGACTAAGAAGCTGAATATTGCACGCAGGCAGTTTCAACGTCGCCGTCAGAGACGGCTTTTGGATGAGGCAAACGACATGTGGAAGCAGAGGCGCGCAGCGGAGGCCATGAGGATCACACGCCTGGCAACGAGAACGAGGATTGGCCCGAAGAAAAGAGACGGAGCGCTCATTCAGCCTGGTCCGTTACCAGCCCATCAGTGGCTTGAGGTCTGGACTTTGCCAGGCCATGACGGTGGCATGGCTTTGCAACAAGTCGAGTGGGAGTCCCTTCGTGAAGAGCAAGATGGGCATTTTCAGTGGCTCCCAGATGCTGAACTTTTTGAGTTGTCGAAGGCAGATTATTCAGCTATTTTAAAGCATACAATTCGGGCACAGAAGCGAAAGGTGGTTCCTCCTGGGACCGCCCCATTGGAGCTGTGGCACATGTGTTTCTTGCCCAAGCCACGAAAGGATGCCCCGCAAGTTGCAGGAGTCGGCTCTTCTGACGAGCCCCCGCGTACTTGAACTTTCCAGTTTCTGGTGAACGTCGGCCTGGCAAAGATTAGGATGCACCAGCAGACCCCGCTGTATTGGCACACCAGTTCTGCATGTGGATTGCGAAAGTCTGGCCTCAAGGGGCCACGAGGACGCAGAGTAGTTCATGTCCTTCCAACCGTTAGTAAGGGATACTTCGGTCGTCGATTAAGAGGGGAGTCCTCCATCATGGACTACGGGTTCGTCAAAGAGCGTCGTCGGGAGGAGGCGGTTTTGTGTTCACAACTTATGAGTCGTCGACTTCGGGAGGGAGGTGTTACGCACGCAGTTTGTTTGAAAGATCTTAGCAATGCATTCGGCAGTACACATCATGATACGCTTGACCAGGTCGTGGAGCTTCATGCGAAGCCAGAGGACCATCCGATTTGTAAGCAGCGCTTTCGGCAGAGTCTGATTCGATTCGAAGCAGCAGACGGCGCCCTTCTAGTTAGGCCCCGGCAAAGCGGCTGTATGGGCGACCCGTTTATTGTCTCTGCCTTCGTGGGCGCCTTTAACTTTCCGATTCTATCATGGGGAAGGGAGTTGAGGACGTGGGGTACGAGATCGAAATTGTTGGTGGGGGAGTGGATGGGATGGAAAGTAGACACTTCACTTCAGAAATATGCAGATGATTTGAACAAGCTCGTAATTGCTGATCCAGGAGACTCGTTAGCTTCTTTTGTGGACAAGCTAGTGCACGTGGACAGAGACTTATACGAGGCCTTATCCATGCATGGTTACGCACATAATCCCAGCAAGCAGGAGTTTCTTGTACACTTTGCCCAACGGGGTCATCTCGGACGTGCCAGAATCCGAGCGGGTGACCTTGAGTTGAAGGGAACTGTACGGGAGGAGGCACGTTACTTGGGGCCTTTCATCACCATGCGGGATTCGGCTCGGAATGAAGTTGTTCGTAGATGCGCTGCTGCACGTACTGGTTTTCACTCTCTTAGTGGAATGTGGAAACTAACGGGACTGGCGAGGAGGTGGAGGAGGTGTTTATTCATCGGGTTTGTTCAAAATGCTTTACTGTCTGGTTTGGAGAGTTTCGCTTTATCACAGTTCGACTATGACATCCTAGACTCGTCTTTGTGCCGATTGGGGAGAGCAGCAATGGGTGGGAAGGCGGCTAATTATGAGGGGGAGCACATCACGAGCCTCACTAACAAAAGAAATCCTGTGGTTCT